CAAAACAGCAATTACTTTTGCACCAACCTAATTATGTGAAAATGCCCTGTGTTTTCAAAACATTTTCATATATAGTTATGCACTGTAATGTTTTGGTCAGTGATAGACCAAGTATCTGAAAGTGGTCATCTACAATTATGCTATATAAGCCTGGACTTTACCATCTAGGTCTGTGTAAGTATACTCAGATGCTTATACAGTGACAGAATCTCCTTACAGTGCATTTCTCAGAATATATCACTGTAGTTAAGTGATGGTATGACTAGTTCCATTTGTTTCTGAACATAGTGCTAGAGTGGAGGTGGCAAGTAGTAAGGTCTCCATTTTATGAATAAAGAAATTCCATTTTGAAGGACTACATAGAGCTGGTTAGCAGCAGATTTAAGATTAGAGGACTCAAGTCCGGGGCCGGCAAGGTAGCATGGTGACTGAGGTGCTGTGCTCCGACATCCCTGACTGGTTCGAGTCGACCTGGCAGCTTGCTTTCTCTCTCTCTCTCTCTCTGGTCAAATTGAAGAATAAAATTAAAAATCCTGAAAAAATATACTCTCTTTCAAACAGACAAACTCAGGTCTGCTGAGTCCTTTGGGCTGTGTAGAAATCACATACTCCTTCTCTAGACCTCCACTTTAATCTTCTGCCACAGTTCCACATACTAGCACAGTTCCTTTACTGTGTTCATTGAATTTCTTAAGAGTGGCGATTTCATGAAATTTGCTAAGTTTTCGAATACTCAGTGGGTGCATTTCGTAGATTATGTGTTAGGATTGTTGTAAGACTTCAACAGATGAGAAAATTGAGGCTCAGAGAAGATGAAGCTGAACCAGGATTGATTTTTTTTCTTTTTAGGCTGCTGTGTTCCAGTATCTTAGGAGAGAGTCTGCTGGTATTGTTTTGTTTTGTTAAATTTTTTTTGTGAGAGAAACACAAGCACCCTCAGTTAGTCTCACACCGTGATCCTCCCCCAAATCTTCCCAGCCAGCCAGGATTATGGGTGCATGGAGCATGTATCTTGTGTTCACAGGTCAACCTGGGTACTAAACTCCAATCTTCTATATGGCTTCAGGATCACAGAGCAGTGTGCTGCCAGTACAACACTGTGGCTGAGCCATAAATGTTGATTAAGTGGGTAACGAGATCACTATTGGACTCTGTGAAATAAAATAGCATACATTATTTATGTTTATAGTTTGCTACCTAATTACTTGTATCTACGTTTGTCATTGTTCTGGAATGGTGATTCTCCCTTTGCTTATGCTAGAAAGAATTATGGAACCTTTTTAAGATTATGAAAAGAATCCCTCATAAATACTGGAATATTTTCAGGGCATTGAGTGGAAGGAGTACTGTGGTTTGCCATCTTTTTTTTTTCTTTTTTAAAGAAGTAATTAGATGGGAGCCAGCAGGTGGCATAGTAGTTATGGTGCTCCCACATGGCCAGCCGTAGTTAGCATCCTGGACCTGACTACTTGAAAATCATGCTAGGTGTGTGTGCATTTGTGACCAAAATTATGTGAGGAGAAGGAATTGCAGTGTAGCCATCCCCCTAAGGGGTGATTTCTCACTCTCCCTACAGCTGTCTGTCTGTCTCTGGCAAGCACACATGACCTATGGCAAAACCATTAATAAATAAAGTTTCACCTTTTTTTTTAAAAGAATTATTTATTTAACCTCATTTATTCATTTATTTATTTTAATTTGACCAGAGAGAGAGAGATGGGGGGGTGGGGAGTGGATGAGAACCAAGCCACCAGGTCCAGGACTTGAAGGGTGGTTGGCCATGTGGGAGTGTCCAGCACCTAAACCACCAGCATACCACCTTACTAGCCCCCTCATCTGTGTGTGTGTGTGTGTGTGTGTGTGTGTGTGTTTAAAATGGAGCACTTCAGTGAGATGGTAGTTATACTTCACTCAGAACAGTTTTTTATTCACATTTTACTAGTACACTGTGAGCTTCTATAAACCTTCAAAATGTTCTTGTATATATATTTTTAGTATGCTGATTTCAAATGACTTCTAGAAGTCTCCCAGAATTGTAGAAGAATGTGTCATGAGCACATGTTAGTTTTTCATTTTTATTTTTCATTGTATGTCTATTGAGAAAGCAATATATGAATTTCTTTTTATTGCCAGAGGTTTTATTTGCTGTAGAGAAAGAGAAAGAGAGAGCACCCCTCCCAGTAAAGTGTGATCACACCCCCAATCCCTTCTCCATTTCTCCATCCTGTTGGGATTTTGGGAACCCACACACATGCACCTCATGTGTTTTTTAAGCTGCTGGTGGACAGGGATTTCAATTGCGTTTAACCATGTGGGATCCAGTCCCTTAAACACTAGGCTCTGGGACTGGCCCAAGAAGACAGTATATGAATTTCTAACAGCTTTGTTGATAAATAATTGGCAATCATTAAATTGAACTTAACCTAAAGTCTACAGTTTGGTATTTCTTTTTTTTTTTTTTTTTTTTGAGAGGTTTTTGCTATAGGGCGCATGCGCTCACCAGCCAGACAGAGAGACAGAAAGCGAGAAATCACCCCCCAGGGGGATGGCCACGCTGCAATCCCTTCTCCGTTCTCCTGGCGGGATCTTGGGCATGCACACATATGTGCCCGGCGTGAGTTTTAAGCCACCGGGTCCAGGACACTAACCATGGTCATCTATGTGAGAGTCCAGCGACATAGCCATTATACTAACTGCTGGTCCCCAGTTTGGTATTTCTTGGCATGTATACATATACCCATGAAACCATCACCATAGTCAAGGTAGTAAACGTATTCATAATCCTCAGTTTCTAGAGGCCTGTTTGTATTTCTCCTTCATACCTTTCCTTTGCCCCATCCCTGTTCCCAGGCAACCACTGATCTCATAAAAACTGTTAGAATATGCAAACTATTTATTGAAGGAAAACAGTCTGTTTGTATTATTGACATGAGGGGAAAAGTCTCTCAAGATCACCACAGTATTCCAACTTTTTATCTGTTACCATTGGCAGTCCGTAATAGGTATTATGAATAAATAAGCTACCAGGCTATTTACTGTAATTGTTAAGAGCAGTGGGAGCCCTTTTTTGTTTGTTTAATCATGTCTGAATAGTATCTTTTTTTTTGTTCTGTTTTGTTTTTGCTATAGGGCATGTGCACTTGCCAGAGAGAGAGAGAGAAAGTGAGAAATCAGAGGCCAGGAGATGGCATAGTGATTATGTCCCTGGACTCTCACATGGCCAACCATGGTTCAATTTCCGGATTGGGTGACTTGAAAAGCACACCAGGCACATTTGCATGCATGCCCAGGATCCCAGGGGAAGAATGGAGGAGAAGGGATTGTGATGTGGCCACTTCCCTTGGGGGGTGATTTCTCACTTTTCCTTCTCACTGTCTCTGTCTCTCCTGCAAGCATACACACCCTACGGCAAAACCTCTTAAAAAAAAATCATAATCACCCTTTGGGAGTATGACCATGCCACAATTCCTTCTCCACTTTCTTCTTGGGATTTTGGACATGCACTCACACACATGCTCCTGATATGAGTCTCAGGCTGCTGGATCCAGGACTTAAACCTTGAAACTGGCCATGTGGGATCCAGTGTCTTAACCTCCTTGCCACCTGCCACCTCAAGAGCCTTTTGATAATTTACAAAGAAAAATAAAATGAATGGCTACTTTTCATCTTCTCATATTTTGCATGCTTCCATCAAATATTCTAATTTCTCTAGTTCTTTGTAGAGTGAGCTTTCTCAGTATATTTGTGTTTGTCTTGAATTTAATTTTGATAGTTTTCTTTCAAATAAGTGTCTGATAACATTTCTGAAATAAAATCTTTCAGCCTTTGTAGAAGTGGTGTGAACATTTAAAGTATCAGGGAAACCTAAAGAATTATTTTGATTGAACTTTATATTATTTATTTATTTAAATTTGACCAGAGAGGGACAGAGTGAGAGAAAGAGAGAGAGAGAGAGAGAGAGAGCGAGAGCGCAAGCAAGCAAGCCACCAGGTCCAGGACTTGAACTGCGGTCGGCCATGTGGGATTCCAGTGCCTTTAACCACTATGCCACCTGCTGGCCCCAGTGCCAGAGAAATCTAAAGTAGTTTTTGTTTTCTGTTTTGTTTTTTTTTTTTCTGGTGAAGATTAGAATTCCTGATAGTGAATTTGTTGTCTTCTTACTGGGAGTATTATGATTTTTTTGTTTTCGGGCTTATACCTCACACTCAAAATCATTGGGCAGGATTATCACTGTGAGGGTAAAACAACAAATAGGATTGTAATTATGTAGCTAATTTTTTAAAAAGAATTATTTCTTTTAACTTTATTTATTTATTTTTAATTTGGCCAGAGAGGGACAGAGTGAGAAAGAAAGTGAAAAAGCAAGCTGCCAGGTCCAGGCTTGAACCGTCGTTGGCCATGTGGGAGTTCAGTGCCCTTAACCAATAGGCCTCCTGCTGACCCCTATTTAGCTAATCTTAAGGTTGAATTTTAAAATGATGTTGAGTTTTTTAGTTTATTTACTGTTGGTACAAGTTTGTTATTCTGGATAATTGAAATCTGCCTTTACAAAGGACAAACGGAACATTAAAAGAAAATTGTTATTATTGGGAAATGTTTATGTACTTTCTAGAAGCTTCTCTAAATTAAAAGCATTATTAAAAAGATTCCTTAGAAGGAAACACTGTATTCTCAAGTTTGACTATTACGCAAAATGTCTAGTTTTGTAAATATTCACCAGTTATTCCTAATTCCCATCTTCCTATAAGTTTGTCGAAAAAGTCATGATGCTTTTTTCTCTGCAAAAAAAAGGGCTCATGACTTTCCTGACAACCCAGTAATAACTGAGTACATGTGAAATGAAGAAGAAAAAAAGAAAGCTCTGCTTTCTTGTACAGCATAATTACAGTACAGCTGAGATACTGATTTTTATAACTACGTTTATGTTTTCAAGTACATTAGCTTAAGTAGGCGAAAGTATTAGAACCAAAAAAGTTTCATACTCTTTTCCTTTTAAATAGATGAAGAACTTCCTGATTACATTATGGTGATGGTGGCCAACAAGAAGAGTCAGGACCAAATGACAGAGGACCTGTCCCTGTTTCTAGGGAACAACACAATTCGATTCACCGTATGGTATGTTTCTGTATATCTATGCCTTGGATCAAAATTTGACACAAGTCATTGTAGGTGTTTTGCCTGACAGTTGCATTAGGCTTATCTTGGAGAGGCATTTTGTGAGTGATGAGAGTACAGCCTCTGGAGCCAGACTGCCAAGGTTGAATCTTCCCTCTTGCCTCTGTTTCTTTACCTGTGAAGTGGGAATAGGAAGTCACTAACTTTACAGAATGATTTTGAGTGTTAAATGAGCTCATATGTATGAAGTGCTTACAGGTTTACCTGGATCATAGATGTTAGAATTTTTTAGCTATACTCATTATTTTTCCTTCGTCTATTTCTACATTCTTTTTCTTCTGACCAAAACCAATTACACACTTCTTCCCACCAAAACCAGTTACAGATGTGTGGACTGAGTTAGCTTCCTATATTACTCTTTGCAATTAGTTACCTCTGAGGGGACAAGGTTTTCATTTTGAATATTTCTTAGCCTTTTTAAAACTTTTAAAAAGAACTCATGCTTTTATTTGACAGAAATTTCAATCACCTTTAAAGTTTGCAATTTTAAAGTAGGCAAATATAAATTAATAATTTTTCATTTGCTTTTTCAAACTATATGTCTTTTTTAAAATAAGAATTTAATTTAATTTCTTTATTCATTTATTTTAATTTGACTAGAGAGACACAGAGAAAGAGAGGGAAAGTGAGAAAGCAAGCCACCAGGTCCGGACTCAAACAGTGGTCAGCCATGAAGGAGTGTCCAGCATCTTAACCACCATGTTACCTACTGGTCCCCTCAAACCATATATGTCTTTAGTTGAAAATATTGGCTGAAAGCCTATGAGTCAGTTAAGGCCAGCTCCTAGTACCAGGTTTAAGATCTAATGAGGCTGGGACTAGCAGTTAGCTTAATGGCTATATTACTGGACTCCCACGTAGTCGACCGCAGTTCGCGTCCCGGACCCAGTGGCTTAAACTCACGCCAGGCGCATGTGTGTGCGTGCCCAAGATCCCGAGAGGAGAATGGAGGAGAAGGGATTGCAGTGTGACCATCTCCCCTGGGGGGTGATTTCTCGCTTTCTGTCTCTCTGTCTGGTGAGCGCACGTGCCCTATAGCAAACCCCCCCCCCAATAAATAAATAAATAAATAAATAAAAAGATCTAATGAGGCTGAGAGACGGTTTGATGTGGCTGAGGCCTGAGGCAGGAAATACTCATATAAGGATCCTCAGACTGTGAGGCATTAGTTAACAGTGAAATCTGAGTGAAATTAGTGGCCTGCATTATTTGAATATCAAGAGACTGAAAGATAATGGGAAATGGTGAAGTTGGTTAACTTCATAGAGGTGGTTTTACAGGTATTTTTACCCCAGTAGGCGGCTGCGTGCTTTACAGCTCTTATGAAGCCTCCTCGAGATTCTGCACAGAATTCTCTGGGTTTATATTGCACAGTTTTGAACAACATGGCGAGGTTGTAGTGGCGCTTCAAATGACACAATACAAATGCTTCTTCAGTGTGGGTGACCTACCTACTTGTTAAAATTTGTCCCAAAGCTTGCCCTCCCCCAACTCCTTCCAGAAAAGAACATGGTGCTTTTGACTGGGATATTACCATTATTGTTTCTTTGTTTGTTTGTATGTAGTTTCACATACAGTTTTTATGATATGATCTTTGATTCAACCTTTGGATCACTTTGAATTCAGCTAATCTTTGATACCAGACTGACATAGTAGATACTTTTTCAGATAACTTGTTGAAATACCTAGACACATTTCTTAAATAAAGAACTTACTGACTGAATTTAAAAGCAGGTTAATTCAACTTACTTTTTTATAAAATTAGTTCGTTAACATGTACTGTTGCAAGAGGATGGTGGCATTTTGCCCTCTCAAGTTAAGTGTTTATTAACATCAGCCCCAAACAGACTATCATGATTCTTTGGAGCCTTGAAATAAAATTGTGTCCGTGGGGATACTGGCATGTGAGATACTAAAAAGATTTCTGGTGTTTTGGGTAGGTATGGCTTTTTAGAAGGACTATAAGGCAAATTTACTTCATATGTAATTACTAAAATATGCTTCAAGCAAGATTGCAGCTTATATTTGCTTACAGCATTGTATTGAGAGTAATAGTTACACAAAATGCTCTGTATTTTGAAATTATGTATAACTTTTTTCACTTCTCTGAATTAAGTAACCTAAGAAATCATGTAAGTAGTTAAAGCAAATATAAATTGATCAATTATAGTAATAAGCCTTATTTCATGTGTGCACTACTTAATACGTAATCTTCATTGAGTTAGTCTTTAAGAAACATGGTGATTTCTTTTTTTCTGTAGACTAAAACACTGGTCAGCTTATATTTTTGCACTTATTTCTTCAGAGGCTAGATGTTGAAAATAGTGAAGAAAAACTGAATTTTTTAACAGTATTTATATAAAGCCCTTTTTTAAGATATGAAACTTGAAAGTTAATTTTATTACAATTTACTTATTAAATAATTGCTTACCTATATTTATGTAAATATATCAAATTTAGAATGGCAGTTGAAATAAAATCTTAAAGAAGGCTTTTCTTTTTTTAGGCTTCATGGTGTATTAGATAAACTTCGCTCTGTTACAACTGGTAAGCTCTTTAAATTGTGGTTTCTTAAATTCTTGCTTGTTTAAAGTGTATGATTTCTTACTGAAGTTATTAATACTGCTTTTTGGAGGGGAAACCATAACTTTTACAGTAGTGGTTCATTTGAACTTTTTAGGAAACATATTTTTAGCTCTTACTTTTATGAATTTAAGAGTAAATTTAACAGGGAACCAGCAGTTAGCGTAATGGCTATGTTGCTGGACTCCCACGTAGTCGACCGCGGTTTGCGTCCCATACTCGGTGGCTTAAAACTCACGCTGGGCGCGTGTGCGTGCGTGCCCAAGCTCCCGAGAGGAGAATGGAGGAGAAGGGATTGCGGCGTGACCATCCCCCCTGGGGGGTGATTTCTTGCTTTCTGTCTCTATGTCTCTGTCTGTCTGGTGAGCGCACACGCCCTGTAGTGAAAACCTCTCAAAAAAAAAAA